GCACCCTTCTGGCAAGACAGTGATGGAGTGAATGATGGTGAAAGTTTTTCTTTTTCGGGCCACCCTGCCTTGGTGGGAATCGGCCGGTGTGATAATAAAAAAAATAAAAATATTATAGTATTATTATTATACGTATTATTATTATACATATTATTACAGTGGAACCTCCAAAATCGAACTTAATCCATTCCAGGAGCTAGTTCTAAATTCGAAAAGTCTGAAATTCGAAGCAATATTTCCCATAAGAACTAATGGAATTACAATTAATCCGTTCCAGAAACCCAAAAATATTCACACAAAAAATACATTTTATAGAGATTAATTACAGTTTTACATAAAACAAATACTATAGTTTTTAATTATGTATAGTAATACATATAAAATAAAATTTTTACTTACCTTTATTGAAGATTGGTGATGGCATCTGGAAGATAGGGAGGAGGAGAGAGGGAGTTGAGGTTAGTGTTTGGAAGGAGAAGCCCCCTCCATGAGGACTTCAGGTAAAGCCCTCTCTGGGGTTACTTCTCTTCTCTGTCTTTTAATGCCAATAGGACCAGCTTGAGAGTCACTGGATCCATCTCGCAAAATAACTGTCCACAGTCCTCTCTTTCTGGTGCCTCTTTAACATTTCACTAAAATGGGACATGGTTCTGTCACTGAACTTGTTGCAAAGATGACTTGTTTCAGCTAGCTCAGGGTGGTACTTCTGCACAAACATTTGGACATCATTCCACTTGGCACAAATCTCCTTAATCTTTGAGGAAGGCACCTCATCCACTCCCTATATTAACACCTTTCGCAACATCAGCTTCCTTGATTTGTTCTTTCTTTGACAGGATAGAACCGATGGTCGACTTGTTTTTCCCATACATCCTGGCAAGCTCAACAAGTCTCACACCACTCTCATACTTCTGTATTATTTCCTTCTTCACATCTATGGTGTTTCTCACTTTCTTTACCACAGGGGTACCACTAGCAAGTTTCTTTGGGCCCATGGCAGCTTATTTCACAGTCCCACAAGCACTAAACACAACAAAATAATTGTAAAATGCGTGAATGAGAGCGCAGGTTAGTGTTCACTCAAGCATAAACAAAGCTAGACTGCTCATGGCACCTGCGCGGGGACGCGGACAGAGCGGGCGGCAGACAGGTCCCGTACCTGCCGGTTCGAAAATAGGGGCGCGTTCGATAATAGGGGCACAGTTTGTCCGAAAAAATGGTCCTATTTTCGAAATGTTCGATATGTGATACGTTCGATTTTTGAGGTTCCACTGTATTATTACAGTGGAACCTCAAATATCGAACTTAATCCGTTCCAGGAGCTAGTCCTAAATTCGAAAAGTCTGAAAAGTGAAGCAATATTTCCCATAAGAAATAATGGAAATACAATTAATCCATTCCAGAAACCCAAAAATATTCACAAAAAAAAAAAATACATTTTATAGAGATTAATTATAGTTTTACATACACACAACAAATATAGTGTTTAATTGTGTATTAATAAATTTAAACAACATATAAAATAACATTTTTACTTACCTTTATTGAAGACTAGTGATGGGATCTGGAAGATAGGGAGGAGGAGAGAGGGAGTTGGGGTTAGTGTTTGGAAGGAGAATCCCCCTCCATGAGGATGTCAGGTATCAAAGCCCTCTCTAGGGTTACTTCCCTTCTCTGTATTTTAATGCCACTAGGACCAGCTTGAGAGTCACTGGACCCCTGTCTCACAAAATAACTGTCTATACTCCTCTGTTTCTGTCTCACAAAATAACTGTCTACAGTCCTAAGTTTCTGTCTCACAAAATAACTGTCCATAGTCCTCTGTACATCTGGCAAGCTCAACAAGTCTCACACCACTCTTATACTTCTGCGTTATTTCCTTCTTCACATCTATGGTGTTTCTCACTTTCTTTACCACAGGGGTACCACTAGCAAGTTTCTTTGGGCCCATGGTAGCTTATTTCACATTCCCACAAGCACTAAACACAATGAAATAATCGTAAAATGTTTGAATGAGAGTGAAGGTTAGTGTTCACTCAAACATCAACAAAACCAGACTGGATCACGGCGCCTGTGTGGGGACACGGACAGAGCGGGCTGCTGGACAGGTCCTGTACCTGGCGGTTCGAAAATAGGGGCAAGTCTGATAATAGGGACAAAGTTGGTTCGAAAAAAGTGTTCGATTTGTGATACGTTCAAAATTTGTGGTTATACTGTATTATTACTTTTTTTTTTCTAACAAGTCGACCGTCTCCCACCGAGGCAGGGTGATCCAAAGAGAAAGAAAATCCCCAAAAAAGAAAATACTTTCATCATTCATTTAATATATAAATAATTTGTAATTTTTATTCACACAAAAAATATAAGATTTACCGTTATTCCTTATTGCAATAATTGTATAAATAATGTCAACCCATTCACAACTGCATATTGGAATGGACAGTGACATCATTTGTTTACCCTGAAACATAGCCAAACAATGGACCATTTCTCCTGTGTTGAGCTCAGTTTCAAGGTACTTTTCATCGTGAAGGCAAGCAAAATCATATCTATTTCTGTAATATATCTTCCATTCTATCAAATGAGACAAAAAAAACGTGAATACAACCATAAAAACAATACGAAAATACCACTAAGGGGCGGCTAATTGCTGAGAAGTGAACTCCATTATTTATGCTTAGATTTCTTTCATTTTTGGTGTATGTTAAGAAGCATCTTTCCATCATACATTCCCAAGTTTCAATAAGATAGTTCAACAAACAAATGAGATACAATTCCTGAGATTAAGAGCAAGAGCCCCTCACCAGTGTCAAGGAACCTGCCTTGAGGTCCGCTCGCATATGGAAGCAAAAAATCGACCCATCGACTGCTCGTACGTATTTGGAAAAACTTGCATGTGGACACACTCACAGGTAGAGGTTCCAATGTATGTCAAATATATTGAAAGTAATTCATTTATCTAGATTATAATCACCATTCATATCTATACCCTTAGTGTCACCACTATATTTCTACCTCCAATAATTATTACAACTAAAACTGTTTTATGATTTCTTCACAAATTGCTGGTTTTATAGAGCTTTGTAATTTAAAATAATAAAACAATTTCTTCATAATAAATGTAAGAAATAAATGTTATCTAATTTTGTAATAATTATATATATTTTGAAAATAAAATTTGTTTGCTTGCTTATGTTCCTTATGTATTCTTGGTGTAAAATCTGGGAAATAACTCTTAAACACTCAACATATGGACATACTACATTAAAATAATACAGGAGGGCCCCACTTATTTGGCACCCTCTTTTCAGTGTTCCATGATTTCGTTAGCTTTCAAATGAGCCCATGTTCATTATGTTTGGTGCCTTTATTGGTGCCACATTTTAGGGTAAGTATTGTATGTACTGTGCATCTAATTTAATTTTCTATCTTTTTTTTTATGCCTAGCCGTATTGATTACTTAATACAGTGGACCCTCAGTTATCGGCCGTTCCGCTTATCCGACAACTTGGTTATTGGCTGGTTTTTCGGCTTCCGGTTATCGGCCGTTATTTTGCTCATTGGCCGTATTGGACGCCTCCACCGCCACCTGCTCGAACAGTCCTGAGTCAGTGTGGCTGTGTTTCTGGGCAAGTGAGGAAGGTTCTGCTCATTCATCCAAACATTTCGCTATAATCCATCGTTTTTGGTGGTTACTGATTCAGTGCAACTGCGAAGTAAGTAGCCCTGGCCCCAAAGAAAGTTCCTAGTAAAGTTACTTTGGTAAAGAAAGTGAGAAACACGATAGAATTCAAGGCAGGCAGGCATAGAGGCAAGGAGTGTAGCAGGCAGGCAGTGAGTGTAGCAGGAAGGCATTGAGGCAAGGAGTGTAGCAGGCATGTAGGGAGTGTAGCAGGAAGGCAGGGAGTGTAGCAGGTATGCAGGGAGTGTAGCAGGCATGCAGGGAGTGTAGCAGGCATGCAGGGAGTGTAGCAGGAAGGCAGGGAGTGTAGCAGGAAGGCAAAGAGTGTAGTGGGAAGGCAGGGAGTGTAGTAGGAAGGCAGGGTGTGTAGCAATGTTTATATGCAATGTATGTTTAATAATAATCACTCTTGGGCACATTAAATGTCTTATTTTAGGTTAATATAGACATTTTCATTAATCCATATGATATTTTCTTCAAAATTATACAAGAAACACATTACATAGCATATAGCATATAAGCATACAATGCTTATATGCTATATGCTATGTATCACCATGCAATGCTTATATTCTATCGAGTGGTGAGTAAACATCATGTTTTCTCTGATTCAGCATTAGAGAAAACTGTGAATCTGGCGTCTCACCCAGTAACTGTCCATCATATGCGTTTGTTTACAATTCTCAGCATGAATTATTCATTACTTCTCCCTATGTTTATGATGGCATCTAAAGGTAGTTGTTAGAAATGATTAAACTCAGTGAACATGCAAAGCATAATACCTCGTTGAACGCTGCCCCATAATGTTCTCAGATCCTGGTATCAACTCTTGGACAGAGATTCTGATTGTACTAGCAATGATTATTTCTTTACAAATAGTTGAGTATCTTCAGAATGGCACCGAATAACCCGTATGTGTTCTATCTCTGACACGGGTGGAAACTTCAGGCATGTTTCTGTACACCTGCTGTTCCTATTCACCTAGCATTAATTAGGTACCTGGGTATTAGTTGAATGTTGTGGGCCACAGCCCAGGAAGGGGGTGTTAGTATACCCTAGATAGGGCTGGGCTTTGAAGTGAGGTGATATAAGATAACAGCTCTTAAACTTCAAAATTGATATTTATGCTTAATTATTATTATATTCAAAAACATGTGCTAAATCTGTATGGGTTATAGAACTGTTCATGTCTAAATGTTGCTTAGAATTGCTTTGTATTCTAAGCAATTATTTTAGCCAATAATAATGCATATATTATACTGTGATTTCTGTTAGTGTTTATTTAACTCAACTAGAGTATGTATGCACATTTATATCTATACTTGGCTAAATTTTAGATTACGTAGACAGACAAAAAGAATAATGAACAAACATACCTGGGATTCTCAAGGATTGAAAGCACTAAACTTCCCTCATTTATGTGAAGTGTTGAATTTGCTGTGACGTCAGTGACTTGAATATCAACTTGACCTGATCCGACAAAGCCAGAAAGCTGCCCATGAAACCCAGCTAAAAAGAGGGGGATATACATAAACTATATATTTTTTATTTACTCTATGCATGTTTTATTTTGGCAGAGTCAATCAAACAAGCTAAACTGCCCAAAAAAAAAAATTCTCATGCACTGATATAGCATAACATCTATTTTTTTTTATGAAATAACAAAGTATAAAATTTTTTAATTTTGCACCAAAACTACCTAGCCAATTAATATCACCTTGCTAAAAATTACTATAATATAGTTTTGGCAGAGTCGATCAAACAAGCTAAACTGCCCTAAAAAAAAAGAAAATTTCTCATGCACTGATATATAACCTATTATTTTTTTTATGAAATAAAGTATAAAAATTTCAATTTTGCACCAAAACTACTTAGCCAATTAATATCACCTTGCTAAAAAATTACTATAAGTTAACTTAATCTTATCTACCCTATTTAATGTCAGCCTAAATTTAGCTAGTACAGTGGTCCCTTGAGTTATGACATTAATCTGTTCCAGAATATGTATCATACCTCAAAACTATCATAACTCAAACCCCAAAATACATAGTCTTATAGTAATTTGTTCCATGACACCAGAGCACCCAACCTGCCCTTGGATACTTTTTGTTTAAACACTCTGGGAGTTTTCTGAGTGGTAAATTACAACAGACTTCAGCTTGAGATCTCCAGAGGTATTGGCAGAGGAGGTAGGACATTCAGGATTGAGCAGACAGGACAGGAGAGGCCAGAGCAGGCAGGCAGGCAGGCAAGCATTGTAGGCTGATGCATGTAGAACAAGCATGGGAGAGAAGACAGGGCAGGTTGGGGCATATAGAACAAGCAGGGCAGAGTAGGCAGGGCAGGGCAGGGCAGGGCAGAGCCAGACAGGCCAGAGCAGGCAGGGCAGGGGAGGGCAAGGCAGAGCAGGAGAGGCCAGAGGAGGCAGGACAGGCCAGAGCAAACAGGACAGGACAGCCCAGAGGAGGTAGGCAGAACAGGCAGATCAGGACAGGACAGGGTTGGGCAGGCAGGCAGGCATAGATTGGCAAATAATTGCAGATTTAATATTTACTCTTTGTTGCAGTCTCCCACTCCCCACATTTGGAATGTATACTGTCTCTCTCCCTTCTCTGTCTGCTTTCCTCCTTCCATCCTCCCTCCCTCACACTCGCCTCCAGTACTCCCTCCATCATCACTCCAATTAAGACCTCTTCATCACCCTGTCTGGTCTCTAGGCTGAGGCACTCATGTGCACCAACTATCATATGCATATCATATTTTAAATTTTTCAATGCAACTCAAAAACTAAATTCCTTAATGAGGGTAAATTTCAACTCAAAATTATCATAACTCAAGGGATCACTGTATTTATATTTAGGGTATAGGTGGTAGGTTACTATAAGCAGGAGAGAGTTTTTATGTGGATCATCAGGCTCAGGTTAGGATGTAGGAGCAAGGGAGACTACCTCCCAGTAATGTTACCATAGCTGTTTAACATTTATAGACAGGGTTATAAAAGAACTGAATGCTAGGGTGTTAGGCAGAACTGTGGGGTTAAAAGATAATAAATTTGATACAAAGTGGGATTTGTCAAAGTTGCTCCTTGACAAGGTTTTTTTGAAAGATTCTATGGAGAAGTTGTAAAGATCTGTGGAGTAACTTGGGAAAGTATGCAAATGGGAGAATGTATATAACCTGTAGAGTTTGTAAAATGGTATCCCCTTTTGTATTGCTATTTCATACTTACTGATAAAAATTCTCCCTTGTTTGATTAATAAATCAGTGCAGCCATGAAGATTTTTTATGATGACATCTCCACATTTAGCTGATATCTGACCTTCATTCATGTATGAGGAATCAATTGCAGTGCTTAATTCCTCAGCTTCAATATTCAACATTAGTCCTTGAAGCCTTTTGGCTTTAATGTGCTGTGGATGACAGGAAACACAAAAACATGTGAAAGACGAGATGTTAAGACAGTATTGTATTCGTCAGTTTTATAATATTGTATACACATAAATTAGCTTAAGAAATTATAAGAAATGAGTGGAAACAAACTGTAAGGGTGGACTTGGAAAAGAGAGTTTTACAATTGATGTAGATCGTTATCGACCTTATATACAAAATAGACGAGATACAGAGCTAGACATTTTCCTAGTATGTGGTTTCTCTATTTTCTGCAATACTAATAAGTGTGGAAGGTAATATGAAGGACTTGGTGTAACTGTAAATCCTAAATCACTATTTTTATCTAAAATTCTTTTCCAGATTAATCTCTGCTTTTACCCTACATCCTCATATAAATGGGACAAAAGGTAAAGGATATAAATTTTATGGATTTACACTCATCAAAGTATCCTCAACAAACATATGACTTCAACTTTCCTGAATACAGACCCTTCAAGGAAAGTGCCTCGATGCTATTGTAGGGCTGACTCCTGATCCCTTCCTTTCCTCAGATTAACCCTAATTACCTCCCATTCTCCACATGCCACATGCCTAAATCCATAAGATTTAGTGCTTTCCCACAAATGTAGAGTCTCGTGGCTTGGTTGACAATGCACTCAGCTCACACACAGTGTGTCCAGAGTTCAATCCCCAGCATGAGTGGAAATGCTGAGCATGTTGTCCCTGTCCACCAAGCATTAAGTAGGTACCTGGGTGTTAGTAGACTGGTGTGTCACATACTGGGGGACAAGATTAAAAGGACCACAATTGAAATAGAACAGACAGTCCATGATGATGCAGTAACTTTCCTGGGTTATTATGGGTGGTTAACCCTCTTGGTTAAAAATCTGAACAAATCTTAGCTTACTATATTTCCTCAGATCAAACCTAATTACCTACCATTTCCCAAATGTTATACAACCCTTATGGGTTTAGTGCTTTCCCACGAATATAATGTATTATTTCTATTGCTCCCAAATATAGATAAGAATATTAAACTTACTGTTTTCTTAGCCCAGATAAAAAGGCTTCCTTGCATAGTTCCTTCAGAGGTTATATTGCCATGATTAGTGGTAATATGAATATTATGACTTTTGAGCCCATGAGTGTTCACGTCACCCTCTTCAGTAGATAAATTGACTTCATCTGCCTCCATCCCCAGAATATGTACACTAGCTTTGTCAAACAACTTAACATCAAGATCTGAAAAAGAGACATTTTACATGAGTACTTTACCACCCAATACCAGTCTCTTATCTTCAATTGTACCATATTATTTTGTTGTTGTATTAACCCTTTCAGGGTCCGTCCCGTAGATCTACGGCTTCATGTTGAGTGTCCAAACCGTAGATCTACACCAAAATTCTAGCGCCGTTAAATTTAGTGTGAAAGCGCTCATAGGCCTACATGTGAGAGAACGGGTCTGCGTGGTGGGTGTGCGCCATAAACAAAAAATCTAGGCACCCGCACAGCATTGTGGGAACGCCAGCTCAGTTACCCTTGTTCACCATACCTCGTCGCAAGTCAGCTCTCACTCCCCGGAAAATTGGGACTCTCCTCTTCCTATCTGATAGTTCTGACACTGATGGAAGTGGAAATGAAGACGAATTCTATGGCTTTGATCAGTTAGTGACCGAAAGGAATGACCAGGATATCGATAATAGTGCAGAAAACCCTGACGATCCTCAACCTTCTACCTCTGGTGTGGGCACTCGTGACTCACGGTCGGTTGTACCTCAACGCAAGAGAAAACTAATATTTTCGCGTGGCCAGGCCTCTGACTTCAGTAATGATGATGATAGTGACGTGGATTGTGATTTTATTGCGCTTGACGATCATTTGAGTAGTGATAGTGAGGAATCATATTCACCAGTGAAGCGTTGGTATGTGCGCCGCCGCATGCGCTCGGGTAGTGTACCCTATGCTGTGCCCAGGGGACGGAGTACATCCCGGAATACATCCCGTGGCCCTACACCAGGTTTAGATAGTGATAGTGAGGATGATGTGGCTACACTTGGCATGGATAGACCACAGGCATCAGTAGATGGTGGTAGTGGTGATGGTAGTGGCACCGCCATGCGTGACTCACCAGCCCAGGCTGGGACCCATGCTGCTGACTCAGTTCAAGGACAAAGCGGAGCGTCAGCCACCAGCCCACCACAATCACAACCACCCGCACAACCAGCCTATGATGTCCAGTATCCACCAGCAAACCGTATCTGGGATTGGCAGCAAAATCCCAATTTTGTTCCCAAGCCTCACCACTTTGATGACTCTCAAAGTGGAATTCTACCTACTTGTCCCCTTGGAACCACTGCCAATGAACTTGAATTCTTTGACCAGCCATTGATGGAAACTATTGTCAGGGAAAGTAATAAGTATTTTGAGTACACCATGGCAAATACGATCATATCACCACAGTCAAGACTACACAGGTGGAAAGAGATGACTGTTGCAGAAATGTATTTGCTTTTTGCAACAATAATGCTTATGCCTCGTGTCTATAAGCATAATATAAAAGCATACTGGTCCACAGATCGGCTAATTTCTTCCCCGGTCTTCAGTGAAATCATACCAGTGAACAGGTTTATCTTACTGTTACGTATGTTGCACTTCTCTGACAAAACCAGGCCTGATAGAAGTGACAGGTTATACAAGATTAGAAATGTTTTCATGTATCTCAAACAAAAGTTCAGCATATACATGTACTTTTATCCATTCAAGAATCTTGTAATTGATGAGTCTTTGATTTTGTTCAAAGGTAGACTGGCATTCAAGCAGTATATACCGAGCAAGAGGAAACGCTTTGGTATAAAACTGTTTGTACTCTGTGACTGTCACAGTGGCCTGGTGTTGGATATTGTTGTATACACGGAAAGAAAAACATTGAAAGATACCAAGATGTTATTGGGTATCTCAGGTGACGTAGTGAGAAACATGATGGCACCTTATCTTGGTAAGGGGCATACATTATATACTGATAACTGGTACACAAGCCCATTACTCAGTGATTTCATCCGAGTGAACAAGACAGATGTGTGTGGCACAGTGCGTTCTAATCGTAAACATATGCCCAGGCTCAACGCAGGTGCTCGTGGTGATGAAGTGCAGGTGTTTACTGCCAATGACATCATGGCATTACGGTGGCATGACAAATGAGATGTCACATTGTTGAAACTATTCACCGTAATGAAATGCAAGACAGTGGCAAAGTTGATCGAGTAACTAATGAACGTACTGTATTCGAAAACCAGTGACAGTGATTGATTATACGCAAAACATGCACTCGGTTGACAAATGTGACATGCAGATTGGTTTTGTTGATTGTGTTCGTAGGAGTTACAAGTGGTACATGAAACTTTTCTTCCATCTCATGGACATTTCAATGATCAATGCATATAATATGTACCAAATAAAGACTGGCAACAGACCACCGTATGGTGAATTTTGTTTGTCTGTTGTCAGACAACTCATAATGAAGTACCAGGTAAGAACACCTGCTATACAACAAGGTCCTCGAATTACTCAGGATATACCCAAGCATTTGAGGAGGGAAGGTGATCATTTCATAATACAGCTTCCTTCAACTCAGAAGAAATTTGCTCAGAAGAGATGCATCATCTGTGCACAAACAAAATGACGGCAACAAAGATGCAAAGACACCCGGTTTATGTTGAGTGAAGTAAGGTGGCCTCTGTGTATGGTGCCTTGTTTCAAGGAGTTTCCACAAGCTCCAGCAGTTCTAAAACCATGTCCAGTGATTGTAAATATGTAAATATATGATAGAACATTAGTATTATACAAGATTTGTGCATGTTTATTGTAATAAACAACAGTGGTAAACAATAATATGATAATAACTTTAGTGTGGTTATTGTGTCAATACAGTGATTTATATATATATGCATTATATACAGTATTGGTCTCTCAGGCCCCAAATGTTAGTAGGATGTGAAAAAAATTGGAAAAGAAAAGAAAAAACTACAAAAAACCGCTAAATAAAGTAATGCGCGTATGTGGAATTCGTCGAGTTTGCCGCCACCACATCATTTTTGACAAACTTCTTGCATGTATCTTGGTAAGTACTGATCAGAATTTTTTTTTTTGTCTTATTACTCTCACAAAAATATGCTCTTTAATTCTGTAAGAATTTTTTTTTTTTTTTTTTTTTCAAAATTTCTTGGACACTGGAGCACCACTTCAGATTTTGGCCTTGGACCCTGAAGGGGTTAAATAACAGATAATAAAAAGAATATCATGCAGTATTAATTAATGAATCAGTGCTAATAAATGCTTACTAGTATCAGCATAACTTATATCTTTTACATCTGCTTTTAATACACAAGCAACAACTCTAATTTTAATAAATGTAAATTCTAACAGGAACTCATTTTTCATCAATTTGAAAAATTTTCTGCTAACATACAATAAAATCTTGTTTACAAGTATAAAAATGTCAGAAGTATGAAATTTATTTGCTTATTATACATAGGTAATAATTGTAATATTGTAAATTGTCAAATGTGAACCTTTTCCCTGTTCACACTTTTCATATGTATAGTATTCACTGATTTTCTTTTTACCTTACTGGCCATCTCCCACATAGGTAGGATAACTCATTCAACTGATGTCTTGCCAAAAGTGAGATGACATCACAATTCAGATGACTCAACTGCAACATCCTCAACCCTTCTTCAGAATGTAGGCATTGTCCTTCCTAGCTCAAGGACTCAAGTCTGGCTAACTGATGTCCCTGAAACCCTTCATAAATGTTATCTTGCTCATGTTTCAATATGTCAAGTATCAAAAATATTATATCTCCACTCATATCCAATGTACTCACACATGCCTTCTGGATGTTCAAGCCCCTGGGTCTAAAAACCTCTATCACCTCATTTCAACTGTTCCTGGGATTACCCCATATTCCTCCTTCATTTGTTAGGGTATCATATTTTATGTAAATACACTGCTCTTTTCCTATGCAGTACTCGATTTTGTGTATATTATCCTGTTTTTTGTATATTATCCAGTTTATGTATATTATCCTGTTGTTGTAAGGTGTCCTGTTTTTTAATATCATCCTTTTTGGATACAGTATTTTCCTGTATAATATTGCTATTCTTTATATAACTGTAATATTATACTACTATATTTTTAGTAAGCTTACAAGTTTTTTACTTATAATTACTACATCCTAGAACTTTCTCATATAAGTACTTATCTTTATTAGCAGACTTTTTTTTTTTTAACACACTGGCCATTTCCTACAAGGCGGGTGACCAAAAGAAAAAAAAAACCCAAAAAAGAATAAAAAACCCCAAAAAAGAAAAAAAAAAACTTTATCATCGTTCAAACACTTTTACCTACTCAACATAATCACGTCTCTGCAGAGGCACTCAGATTGACAGCTTAGATGTCACTCCAAAACACCCAAAAACCCCAAACCCCCTTTAAAGTGAGGGTTTTGTACTTCCCCCTCCGGGACTAACCCCCGGCTACCCAGTTTCCCCTGACCCTTCACAGATATTACCCGCTCACACCCAACAGCTCGTCGGTCCCAAAAAGATTTGTCCCCTTTCCCGCCCTTTTAACAGCTCAACACCTTGCGAAAGCCCACAAAAACCTCCTTTACCCCCCCCCCAAAACCTTTCCTAAAATGACCCTACCCCCCCTTTCCCTTCCACTGCGATACATTTTTAAAAAAAATTTTACGTACTGTGCACACTTAAAATACGAAAGATACAGCTTTTTTAAATTTCATGATTTTTTTTACACCAATGTTGAGGAAGACGATAGGCTCACATTTTTGGTAGTAGAACACGTCACATAGCTGAAGGTTTGGGTTTTCACCCCAGGTGATTGAATTAAAAAGGCCCAAATCTCCTTACACTTGCTGTCCCTGTTAAAACCTACAGCAAATAGGTACCTGGGTATTAGCGACTATGTGGGCACACCCTTGGGAAGTGGATCCAAGCTGTCCCCCAAGGGAAATAATCCACACTGTACTTTTTTGGGTTTATCCTACATTAATAAACTGAAGGAAATTTTTTCTATTAATAATAAAAAAAACTTCCCCATTTTGATGGTATTTGTACTTCACAATACACTTTTGGGTGACTGTGGAAAGCATAATTGTGGAATGTCTTTCATTCTCCATTAGTTCAATATTAACCCATCACCAGGACGGGGGTAGTCCATAATGT